CAATATTGAGGAATATACAGTGACCGATATATACCCAATATACTATACTGATATATTGAAGATATGTGCCCAATAAAAAATAAATGAAATCGGACACCTGATAAGTGTATGATATATTTTAAAAAAATACCAAAAAATCTGAATCCGATATGTGTCCGATATCTGTCAATATGTACCCAATATGTGTTCAAACTTCGGTACACTCACTCTACCTATTAGGAGCTCGATATATTAGAATTTATTAAAAATTGAGTACCTATCGCATACCTATCGGATACCTGATAGGTATATGATAGGTGTTGATTTTTCACAATTTGACCAGTGTTAGTTAGATGACCTTTATTTCTTATAGCTTCAGTAACTTTATATCTCATACTTTTCACTAATTGAATAAGTTTACTTTCATTAATCTTGTACCATTCTGTTTGTAATACTGCAAAAAATTCATTTTTATTTTTTGGAATAAGTTTATGTCTTTTAATTCTTTTTTCAAGTTCATCTTATAAATTTTCAATTGGATTAAAATTAAGACTTTGAGCTGGTCAAGGAAGTCTTTCAATTAAATTTTCTTGTTTCCATTCTCTAGTTTTAATTGAAGCATGAAGATATAATATTATCTTGAAAAATATTATTTTTTATATCTAAATTATTTAAAAATGGAATTAAATGTTCTTTAAGTAATTCTATATATTTATCAGAATTAAGTGTACCTTCAATTAAAACTAATGGTTCTAATTTATTATTACAAAAATATAACTCAAACTAAATTTTTAATTGTAAGTTTTAAACATTCAATTTTATATTGTTCAATTTTTTTATGCCATATTCAATTTCTAGAATTATTATTAAATAATTCAAATCTTGATTCATTATATTAAATAATATTTTTCCAATTTCTTTTCATATTATACTATCAAATCTTTTTTTTCTATTTTGTTTTAAAATAAAAGATTTTTTCTTTGCAGTATATTCACTATAAACTTCTTCATGTAAAATTCTTTGAATTGTTTTATTAGAAATTGAAAAATTTAATATTACATTAAATTTTTCAATAATTTTAACTAATATTAAATTTCTGTTAACTTTAATAATTTTTATTAATTGTCTTCTATCTCAATCAGTTAATATTTTTGGTTTGTCTGATCATGAAATTATAGAAATTAACCTTGATCATTATATTTTTTTATTACATCCTCTACTGTAGATTTAAGATGATTTAATATTTTAGCAATTTTTCTTTGTAAAATATTTTCTTTATGCAAATCAACAATTTCTTCATGTTCAAAATTAGTAAGTTCTTTTCTTTTAGATATAACTTTAAAATTTTTATAATAATTAATAATAAATATATTTTTTAAAAAATTTATTTTGTTAAAAATATTAATTGAATTTTTTATATATATAAAATAATAAATCCATTGTATATACAATTTCTTTATTCTTTTTTTAAAAAAATATATTTTCAAATTTAAAAATATCATTTTATAAACTTTCTATAGTAAATTTTAGAAAAATCTGTGAATAAATATAATTATTTTTTATTTGGTCATAAGTGAGTTTTTATTTTCACTAAAAAATATTAAAAACAGTTATAATAAATATTGTAGACCTTATTTTAGTCTATATTTTTGTATAAGATAGTTGGTATCTATGATAAATATTCATCGAAATTAAAAGAATTTATTATCAATTATTCACTTGAATATTTTTGGTTCATCAGGAAATTTTTTGGGGCGTAAATTTCCTGATGCATATACGGAAACGTTCTTTTTTACAAACATTATTATAATTATATTAACTGATGAAGTTTTGGCTATCAATTTTCACTTTGTAGATGTCGATGGGTTAGCCTGTCATCTAGATTAAATTAGAAATAGTTTAGTTTAGAGTAGGTAATTAGAATATAACATGTAAATTTAACATTTGTTTTATTTAATAAAGTATCTAACAAGACTTCAATGGTTAAAAAAAAAAAATAGTAAAAACTAAAAGTAATACTAAGTAGCCTTGAAGATAATATTGTTTTACACATACTGTAAAGTTTGCAAACCTATATTTTAAGAATTAAAGGAAATATTAACAATTATTCTTTATGGTAATTATTTGTTATATTCTTATGATATAACTCTAAAAACTTTGCAGTAGATACACAATAATTTTTTCTTCAAGATTACTTAGTATTATTTTTACGATTTTATTATTACAAAAAATATTTTATATATAGAAATTATTGATAATTTTTCTGAAATGACAATAATCAACAATAATTTCAATCATTTTTTAGTCATGTCTAAGTAAAGTTATGATCTTAACTAGAAAACAACAAATATAATACTAATAAAAATTGTAGACTTAGTTTAGAGTTACAAGTTCTTATAAGATATATTAAATTTCCAGTAGATAATTATTAAAAACGAGAGACATTATAATTAATAATTTGATTTGTAATTTTTGGATAACTTTATTTAAGACAAGATTTCTGTTCAAGAAAGTATTCAATTTTAATAGAAAAAATATCACATGATAGTCATTGATCAGGGGATCTTTTTAAAAAAAATTTTACATATTTTAAATTATTCCTTGTGTCATAATTGTCCTTGAAGTTTATTGATAAATTTGATAAAAAAACAGTTGCCAAATACTTTTGACAGGTTGGTGTAGTTAAAAAAAAATTTTATACAATAATAATAAATTAGACTTTAAGTTCACAAATTAAGAAAAAGGTAGGTATTTAAATTTTGAATAGATATTTAAAATTTAAATATCTATTTTTTCTTTAATTTATGAGATTTAGATCTAAAACTTTTTCAATAAGTACTTTCCATTTTAGTTATGAGTTTATTTGATAACTTTTTGATATTTTACTAATAAAAAATTAAAAATGATCAATTTTTTATTATTATCATTTAGATAATATACAAATCACCAACTAATTTTATAACACGAATTGTCAAAAAATTTGTTGATTTTTGATTATTTAACTAGTATATATAATAGAAAATATAGCTAAATCTATTATTCAAAAGCTAAAATTTTTTAAAAACAAAAATTCAGGTATTACAATACTTTTGTAAAACAGGTTAAATGTAAAAGAATAGATATATTAAAAAGAAATTTTGATTTTAACTAATTTATAATATAAGATATAATAGAATAATTAATTTTTAACTTTTCTATAATATAGGAATTTTGATTTTTAATATAAGAATTACCATTTGATATAGTGATTCTTTTATATTTACTAGTATTGTTTGAAATTCAAATGTGTGAATTCAATAAAATTATTTGATTTTGAAAAATTAAGTAATTTTATTGAATCTGTACATTCAAATTTCAAATACTGGTTATAACTATATAAATTAACATTATAAAACAAATGATAATTGTTTTTAAATTTTTAAAAAAATATATTGATTTTTATTATTTTTTATTATAGTTTTATTTTTTACACAGGTCAAATACAAAAGAATTGCCATACTGAAAAGGAATTCTAATTTTAGCTGATTTGTAATATAGGATGCAATAGGACAATTGATTTTTTTCCAATTTTTAATTGATCTATAATATAGGTATCACCATTTAATAAAGTGATTCTTTTGTATTTAACTAGTGTTTACTTATATAACATCTAAAATGACATGTCAATATTTTATATAAAGCCTTATTTATAAAAATCCATTATTAAAAAAAAAGGTTTAAAAAAATTACTTTATGATTTTGTGACATTGATAGTAATTGATTGTATTGTAGCACAACCATTCAACTGTTGAAACAAGGTCTTCTGAAAAGAATTTGAATACATTTGTATTTATCTACCTTTCTCATCATTTGGACTATCACATTATTGCACTTTCTTGTATTTTATGTTTTATCTTGTTTCTATTCTTATTTATATCTGGAAAAATACTTGTGATTCAAATGAAGACTGTATTAATGGCAAGAATATCCTGAGATAGTTCTTATTTGTCTGTTGGATTATCTTCTAAGAGAACTATGATATTTGCCATTGAGCTTGAAGACAAACTCAAGAAGGTTAAAGAAAGTTGATACATTTTATAAACAACAACTTCTTTGACCAGTTCACAACTTGATTACTCCAATTGGGAACACAATCTAGATCTCTTGAATTGTATAGAGAAATAAACGAGGCAGTGTCTACTGAGATCTTCTTATTGTTTTGAATGGCATAAATAAAATATTCATGTCATGATTTCTGAGCATGGACTCGACATCCTAAGCTCAGTGTCCTAGAAGATTCTATTTTGCCCTTCCTGTTTCGGCACCAAAGTGTATTAGCTGAAACACCTAAAAGTTTAAATGCTTTAGCAACATCTGTGTTATAATATATCAATACGATAACACATAAAAGACACAAAACGCAACGAGACTACGGATATCCGATAAAAGTGTCTTTAAACCAAGGAAAAGAGTTAAGCGAAAGTAATGACTTCAGAAAGTTATCCAACCAATAGATGACCCATCGTCAGTAACACAATGATGTGGGGCAAAGGACACAAGGTCTCATCATTTACATGAAGATGGATGAACTATGGAATTCGTCTGTTCATTATTTAATTATTTTTGATTTTCGAAAAAATTTTCTCTTACATATCACAATCTAAACAATAATTTATTCTCAAATTTGAACTCTAGTAAGTCATAAATATATAAAAAAATCTTACTTCGTACAAGTAATGGAATCTATTTGGAAACGCAGGTAGAAACAAGGTCTTTTTTCTCGTTGGTGGTTTTTTATTTAAATTTCTTTGATCAATACGTCAAAATGTGTCAAAATGTTTTTATGTTGTTTGATAGATTACTTTATTTCTCATCTATCTTTTCTCTTTCCGGTTAATAGCAATCGTTTAACAGTTAATACTGACCACAGCAACAACACAACTTCCACAACAACTGCAACAGTTACGACTCCAACATCCACATCGTCTACAAAACTCATCCAACTTCAACGCACAAGTTCACCGAATGGTGTAACTAGCAGTATGGCCGCTTCCGCCGTTCTTTTGACACCAACGACACCTCTTGCAATGGGTGGTGGGTTAGGTAGTGGCGGTGGAGGAAGCGGTTATCACGCTAAACATCGTTTGAGCATTACAGGTGGTGGGGGAGTTGAAGATAAAGATAATAAAGAAAATGGAAATAATAGTAATGGTTTGGTAATTGGTCTAACGCGTCAACAATTCACACCAAGTCCTACTAGTGAAATTCATCCGTTGCATTTTACATGGGTATTTTGGTTTATGCATCGAATCCCAGGTAGTAAAATACTAAATTATGAGAGTTCAATGAAAAAAATTGCTGCATTTTCTTCGGTAAATATTTATCTATTTAATTTAAATTTTTTTTCTTTAATCATAAATATCTAATTTAATATTCAACATGTTTCAGATAGAAGACTTTTGGGCAGTTTATAGTCATCTTCGAAGACCTCATGAATTACCTAACATCAGCGACTATCACCTTTTCAAACAAGGTGTTAGACCAGTATGGGAGGTATATATATATATTTATTTATTTAAAAATTTATTCGCTTACAGAAAATCTAATTTATAAATATTTTTAAACAATTTTCTCAACACTTTATTTACTATTACTAGGATGACACTAATATTAATGGAGGTAAGTGGATTGTGAGATTAAAAAAAGGTTTAGCTAGTCGGTATTGGGAGAGTTTGGTAAGTGTTACTTAGTGTTACTTAGTGTTACTTAGTGGTACTTAGTGGTACTTAGTGGTACTTAGTGGTACTTGGTGTTACTTGATCATTATGAAGAAAACAAAGGAAACAAATAAATTTAAAACCACGTTTTGATAACCAAGAAATTTTTTATTTAAGGTCATGGCGGTTATTGGTGACCAATTTGATGTGGGTACAGAAATTTGTGGAGCAGTGCTGTCTATTCGCAGTTCGGAGGACATCTTGTCCCTGTGGAATCAGTCTGCACATGAAGGCAGGATTAATTTAAAAATAAGGTTAGTAGAATTATAACATAATTAATTAATATAAATCATACATAGAATGTATATATTCAAATATTATTATTATTATTATTATTATTATTATTATTATTATTATTATTATTATTATTATTATTATTATTATTAAATAACCGACAACTTCTATTGTGAATAAATAAATCGTTGAAATTTTTTTTTATTAGGGATACAATGAAACGAGTTTTGAATTTGCCATCAGAGACGATTATGGAATATAAAACGCATAATGACGCTTTGAAAGATAATTCTAGTTTTAGGAATACTGATGTATTCCGATAAAAAAATCTGATAGAATTTATGCTTAAAGTAAAACTTATTAAAATAAAATAAAAATTAATTGCTGAAAATAATGTAAAGATAATGCACATTTGATTTATCCAATTATTATGTGATTCGTATAAATGTGAAACTGGAAGAATAGGAATTTATCATATTAAATATATGATATTATTTGAATGGACTGCCTTAGAAGATTCTATCAAGTTACATTTTCGATTTCCGTAAATTATTAAGTATTTTATTAATAAAAATTATTTATATTTGTACTATACAGAATTGCTAAATTTTAAAAGTAAAGTATTAAATATTCTAAAATAAATAAATACAAATTAATATAAATAAATATAAATAAATATAAATTAATATAAATAAATATAAATAAATATAAATAAATATAATAAATATAATAAATATTTGCTGAGTCTTAACCTTAAATCTAATATTAAATTAATATTTCTAATATTTAAAATCTAATTTATCAACATTTTCCAATTCTTCTTATGCTTATTCAATTTCTTTATGAAAAATTTCATTATCTATATCAACATCTACTAAATCATCTTTCTTCATATCTTCTTCCTTAAATTGATCTATATCCTTATCTGTTTCTTCTCGAATGAATCTATCTTCTCGAGTTTTTGTTGCTGTTGCTCAGATAATAATAATTTATTCAATTCTTTAAAATATTTAGCTTGATCTACTATATTATAATCTCTTACTCCTTCAACGCGTCCGCTTATTGACACAAACAATTTTAATAAATCCAGTTTTTTTCTTATCATTATTATCATTCAAGTTTTTGATTTGAATTATTAAAAATGCCTAATAACCTGCTTTACCATTAAATTTTGGTCAGTACATTGTTATTTTTTGATCTCCTCAATCGTTATTTTTTCTATAATAAAATTAATATATTAATAAATGGTTTTTAATTTAAAAAGAAAAAGAAGGAATATAACGAAAAAAAAAATAGAACAAAAAATTAAACCTTTGAAAGTTGTCTTGATCGATGCGTCTTTCGTCTAAACAATTAACCTTTATTCCATTGGTTAATCCTAACAAGTTAAATTTACTAATTTACATGTACATAAAAGCATTCGATTATATCAAACAATAATAAAAAATAAATTGTGATAAAATGATTTCTGGTAGATCCAGAGAATAGGTTAGCGCTAACGAACACGCTAAGCATCTGGGATTGTAACTAAATGTTGAGATATCGCTCTAATTAAAATACATATAAATACTAGTTTTACTATTAATCTTTTTGTATTTATATAATATTCTCTCTAAAATATATTGAGAAGCTTAAAAACATGCGCCGTTACCAATTTTATCATTATATCGACTCAACTCATCACGTGTTAGACACTTTAAAATTTTTATTTATATAGGGTGTTTAGAGGTATGACGATAACGAAATGTTATTTTGTACTGTACGATTTTAAATAAAATTTGCACAAAATTCGTACCTTATTATATTTATATATTTAAATTGTACTGTATGAAATTTTTTATGTTAAAAAACCGTACAGTACACGTATTTTTATATTAAAAACAGGTATTTTACTAAATATAAACAATTAAATAATAAAAAAATGTGGCGCACATATTATTAATAAGAGCGTCCTTATTCTGGACCCCTGGTTCAGGGTGAAATTTATGAACCCCCGGGGTTCAGGCAAATTATTCTA